TATTCTAAAATATATTGAGGTAACATGTCAATAAACCTTTGTGTTATGAATTGAATAATAAATACACGATATATATATATATATATATATATATATATATATATATATATATATATATATATATATATATCGTGTATTTTTTATTCAATTCATAACACAAAGGTTTATATATATATATATATATATATATATATATATATATATATATATATATATATATATATATATATATATATATATATATGTGTGTGTGTGTGTGTGTGTGTGTGTGTGTGTGTGTGTGTATTAATCACATTTTTTATACCACTAAAAATATCACAAAACGCCACCTACCGAATACAAAAAATTTATGACAGCTGCTGGGTGGACATCAAGTAGTTCCTCCCAGTTCTTTTTAATCTTCTCCCACTCCTGTGCATTCATGTTTCAAACTGCTTAAAACTTTAATACCAAAAGAATAACGAATGTGAATGTTGTATTATCGTTTTATTGTACGGAGAAGCCATAGTTTTGCATTATATTTTTAAATGAAGCTTCTCCATTATCATTCCTCATTTGAAGTACAGAGGTTTCTAACTTATATACAATGTATTTTAAAAAAAGTTACTTTTATTAACTTAAGTAAGAAATATAATATCAGTGGAAGACAATAGTTGATTTTGCTGTTAAAATATTACAACGTTGGTATTTTTTAATATTTATTCTGAATCTTCTTTTTCGCTTTTTATGTAGAATAGAGTTAAGACCATTGCACATATAAGTAACTTCTTTAGCTTGGACCATCCTCACTTCACCAAACGAACAATGATACAATTTGATTTTTAAAATACTGATCGGTTTTATTGTATATCCTGGCAAATTCAATTTAGCGAAGAATCGATTGTTACCTATTTGTTGGAAATAATCACATAACCGTGTTCGTTGCAGTAGTATAATACCCATGCGTCCACTTAGCTACATATAAGTTCCTGATTCACGTTGGAGAAAATAAGAGGGAAGGTGATAGTGAGGACAACACTATCACTTCATAAGCCGAAGTAATAGAAACAGGTAAAATCTACGTCACCTACCCATTAAGCGTCAGGTTCGAAAAGACTTCACTTTTTAAGGAGTATGATGAATGTAAACTAGAATCCAATATTTCGAATATAATTTTATTGTTACCTGTACTACTTATTAAACAGCTAATTTCTTACATTATAAAGACTTAAATTAAAGTCGAATCAGCAATCTGTAGATTTCGAACATAAATATAGAACAATGTATATAGGCCTATAGGAGATAGAAATTTTGGAAATTTAATTTACACTTGTAGATTGAATGAAAGTAACTATGTTGATGAATGGAGCCGAAAGATTGACTTTTTCTTTCTCGAATGCAGAGTATAGTGAAAGTATTGTAATCGTCCACAAACATTAAATGAGACTTCAACCGTTTTCAACGTTTTACACCGCCCCACTTAAACTAAAAGTGCCGTCTCCATTACTTTTTAACGCAATTTCCATACTGGCAATTGCGATTATTAACTCGTATAGGGATGGATGTGTGTCCGCGCTTTAAGTCGTATCTCCTCCTCAACGAAGCAATATCGAGGACTAGTTCCAAAAGCAAATATGTTAAGCAAGTTCCGAGGATGATTGTGGGCCAAAAAAATTCCCGGAATTTCTTTCCTGGATCTCCCGGAAAAGCCAAAAAACCTTTTTAAAAATGCAGTTTTTGGCCCATATCTCGGCAACGAGACCACTTAGCGACTTGAATCATTTACCAATCGATTCCTGCCATAATTTAGAACAATATTGCCGAAGAAAGTTTTCAAAGATATCCTTTCGTTCGGTCACAAAAAATTAGTTAAGGAAATTGCGCTGAAATTGTCACTAGACTTTTTATTAACTTGTTTATAAAATTTACGAGAAAATTTAGGGGAGATCACTTCCGCTTTATTTTAATATATGTGTAAACTCCTGTATGTTGAAATATATTCTGGTGCTGACAATTGTAACCGATATTAATTTAATTTAATTTTTCATTTAAAGATTCTTACTGAATTCCAAATTTTATATAGGCCTATAAAAAAAGGTATTGGGTGAGATTCTATCACATTTGTATTCTTTAGCCTTTAGTTCTCTTTACTGTTATACAAGATAGAGCCCAACTGATCAACACACGCTTAAGCGGTGATTGAAATAGGTCTGTGTTTACTGTTGTAAATCTGTATCAGTCCTCACAAGCAGATGATGAAAACTAATACCAAAGCGAACACGCAAGGCAAACAGACGCTGTAAATTGTATGTCTTAGGCAACAAAAAAAAAAAAGAAGCAAATAATAATATAGCCGGCAACTTTAGCCTTTTCGTCTTACAGTTGAAAAGAGTAGCAACACTACAGGAAAAAGTAGAAACAACGCTAACAGCAGTGCTGTGTGACATAGCTACTTACCACCCATACAAGGATATAACATAATATTAAAAAAAAACAAAAAAAACAACCACCCCATTCTTTTCTTGTTGCGTATGTGCAGTATACCTTTTCGGCTGTCACCCTCGTAGTTCTCAACATTTTAACATCTTATTACATATTCTAAATCTGTGTTAATGGAATGCTTGAATAAAAGTATTGCTTGCACTCTAAGTCATATGGGCCCTCCACCCGTCTCGCTTGACTGACCTTCTTGTGACGCACAGCCGTGACGTCGATTTTGAACTTTGACCTTTTCCTGCTGTTAAAAATAGCACGCAGCCTTTCGGTGTTGCAGAGGGTTTTTTTGTCACACACACACTTGTCACAAGGTGTTAGTGTGTAATTTTTGTACCAATTATATATTTTATTTATTATAATAAAACGGCAGTAAGAATACATTTTTGTTCTTTCAAGTATAAAACTATATATATATATATATATATATATATATATATATATATATATATATATATATATATATATATATATATATAACGTATATCAACTTGGACGCTTACCTTTTCAACTATATTGTCTCAGTGTAAAGGAACGAAATTAGCATGAAATAAATCTCGACTCCTGATGTGCATGTCGGTACAGAACAAATCACCCGTGTAGTGCCTGCATATCAGCACGTTGTAACCTGTGTACTGCCAACGTTTCCACAACACAGCAGCAGGTGTCAATACTCTCTGGAACCTGCCGTCTCACGTGAGATGACATCGATCGGGTTCCGGGTATTCCCTGGAAAGTTTAGTTTCAGTTTCTGCCGTGGCACACGACTTGAATTGTCATTGGTGTGTAACTACAACAGTCAAGCAGAGGGCGGGAGCTAATGTACACTTGTTTTTGTCTTGCTATTTTAAAATATATCTAAAATATATTTAAAGTACAGTATATAGGTCCTATTTAAAGTATACATAACGTATATTTAAAGTATGTTTAAAATACAATTAAACTATGTCTAAAGTATATTTAAAGTAGTTTAACACTAAATGAATAGCCTGTGACTGACATTTTACTTTTTACATTATTTGATGTTGAGCAATTGTAAAAGTCAGCAAAAGCCATTTACGTTAACTTATCAATTTATAATGGTTATGACCGAGTTTACGAGATTACCTCAATCAATTCTGTTGACATTGATAAAAATCGTGTTGTATGCCCTACTTTAGATTTTGCAATCAAAGTAGCCGTAAAATCATAAAAAAACAACTTAAACCCGAAAACAATTCAGACATTTAATATTTTTAGAACCAATGCTACAAAAGTTGCAAATTCAGAGAACTTGAAAATACTTTTCTTTTGTTTAAGTCAACATTTCTATCTCCATGAAGCTTTGTTTTAATTTCATAAGACAATCATTGATTGTCTCTACAGAAGCTCCGTGATCACTATTCCAAAAACACCATTTCACTGTAATTTGTTCTCAAAATTTTGCGATAAAGTTTTTAAATAAAATTATTGTTTTTTAAACCACAAGACCTACTTCTAACATCTTTGTTTTCATTTTCTATGATAAAAATACCAGTAAATTGTGTTTAGATTTTTTTAAAAATTCGTTGTTACAAAAAATACTAAAAACATTAATTAAATACGCTCAATCTTTGGTAAAGTCCAACGAAAATCAAACATTCAGATTTTTATAACAAAATTTTTTCAATAATATCGTGTATGACTTTTTAGATATTTAATTATGGGTTTCACAAATAATATAGGTTGTGTACATTGTCTCATAAAGGTAGAATTTTGTGTACACCACTCTGTAGTGTGTGTAACCGTATTATAAATAACAAGAACATGTTTTTTGTGATGATGTAAGGACGCGAAATGAAAAATTACGCACTTTTACGCATTTTGTTTTAAATCGAGCTTTTATGGCCGTTAACATTAAGAAGAAATGACCACATGTACATTGTAGTATAATAAAATAATTTTCCAAGAAATATGACAAAATAAAAGTGTTAGTATAATTTGCGCATTTTTCTGTTTGCGCAATTTTCTGAGAACCGTTTTTTTTTTACCTTACTCTGTTAGGAAAGCGATTTAATATTAGAATTATTTTTAATAGCTGCCAACGATTGTACTTTCTTGAGATAGATCTGTCATTGCTTAAGGAGAAGAGTCAAGTCACATGAAATAAAGTTATGAAGTACCCCCAACAATCTGTTTCACAATACTAGCCTTAATTTTGTTTTCTAACGTTTATTTTTTTAAATGTCAGTAAAGTTATAAATTTTAATTAGTTTTTAGTCAAAATCAGGTAATGTTCAATCAGCCTCACCTTTTACTAATAAACAACTATATAATATCTAGGTCTATAAATTTAAAATATGTTTGGCAGTTAGATAGGTAGACAAACAGAATATTGCTCACAAAAATTGTTGTCCAAACGTGTTGTTTTATTTAGCACAGGTGTTGATCAGTAGGAGCCATTTTACTTCTAATGAAAATACTTCCATACGGTTTTTAAAGGTAAATGGTAAGCATAATGTGACTGTGATCGTTGTTGTTTCATCTAATACAACATACTAAATCTTCAGGTTGGATGCTTATTTATTTCCCTTCACTTGCGCACTCGATTAAACACATAAAAAACATCATATATTTGCAGTATTTGCGTAATGCTAATAATTTACAAATAAATACATGGTTTTCTTAAAACAGTCAAGTAATTGGTAATAAGCAAAAACAATTACTTTGAGAAATTAAATAGCCTATACATTATTAATTAAATTGTAATGAATTATTATTAACTGACACAACTTTATTTATAAAGTAAAATGTTGAAAATCATCAACTACTTAAGCATATTACTTAATAACTTTTGGTGTACAGCCCGATTTTAGAAGAACAGCAGGTATAAAATTTGAGCAGGAACCATCTCTTCCCCAATAGCGAATAGATAGAAATATATTGCCCAGTTCGTATTCTGTTGAATCATCGGTATCATTCTCAGGATTTTCACCAAACAAAACCAAAATGTTACCATGGACAACAGCTCCGTACATGACTTTTTTGATGCTCCACAGTTTGGCCACATGAGTAAACGTAATCTTTTCATTGACATTATTTCTTACAGACCACAAGCTACCATTTGTCTGGAGTACAAAGTGGTTGTCGTCGTTACGAAAACTGATGATGTTTTCAGCTGATCCCTCGAGGTTGTTCAGTCTTGTCCAGCTCTTGGCCTGAAGGTCTAACATATGGACGGCTGTTTCATCGATGTCATTGACATTTTCAGTACAAAAGATGAGCATATAAATTTGGTAGCTCATAACATGTTTTATAACATTTTCTTTTGGAACTTGAATAAAGTGTTCTAGTTTCGGAATCCTCCTTTTAGGACTCAGTCTATATATTATATTTTCAATGACGTTTGTAACGTATATGTGGTTGTCATTGCTTGCTAAAAGCAGATCTTTTCCAGGCATCTCCGCTATCTCTGCCCACGAGTTATCATAGTAAAGAAACATTTTACTTTTATTTTGAGAGGCTGACTGTACACCAGTTGCAAAAAGTTCGTTGTCGAACACAACTAGCTGGACGTTTCGTTTTAACGATTCACACTTGTTCAGCGTATACCACTTTTCATCATCAGGATCTATACAATCTAATGACCCACAACTGCTAAAACAGCCATAGTTGCCATATTCGTAACACTCTCTGTATCTGCCGGTCGTTGGCCACTGTCCGTGACGAAAATAAGTTGTCTCGTTTAAAATTGCAGAAACAATCTCTTGCTTTGCTTCGTCAATGAGCTTAATGAGCGGATGTTCTAAGACTTGCACTAGCAAAGATGGGCTTATTAAAGAGATTCTGACAGTTCTTAATAATTCTCTTAGTCTCTTGAGTCTATCATCATTACATACATTTTTATATACAATGTTTGAATTTTGAGAATTCATTATACTATCTGGTTGCATATACGTCTGAATATCACCTTTTTCTGATTTAGTGGCTTCACTATTCTCTTTTAAGTCTCCTTGTTCATTTTCTACATTACCATTACTTTCATTTACGGCTTTTTCAATGTCTCCCAAACCCTTTTGATGTATAGTGTCCTGTGGAATACTAGCCGGATCTTTGACTGGTTCTGAATTTATTTCATCCCTTTTCCCTTCATCTCCGATGTTAACTATGTCAGGTTTATGTGCAATAGGATTGTATTCAGTCCATTTTATAACACTCTGTAGCACATTATACTCGGAGCTACTTTTAAGCGTAGGCTTTTCAACCAAATCTTGAAATTCTTTAAACGAAAGTTCAAAAACTGGTTTTGTTTCTGAAATAGCATCAAAGTTCTCAAGCATAAACGTATTAAGTGGGACGCTTACCGATCTAGCATTCAAAAGTTTAGCAATAGAGTATATTTCTTCAAAGTTATCCAGCTTTAGATTATTGACTGCGAATGTTTCACACATATTTAAGAAAAATCCGATTTGAAGCATGTGTACAGCGTGCCAGATTTCTATGAAGTTGTCAAGACTCAACACGTCTTCACCGGTGTACAAAGTTTTCAGGATTAACTGAAAGGTGGAGGCTGATATATCTTGTAGAACTACACGTCCCTCGTTGGCTTCTTTCATTCCAGATCTCAGAAGTCCGAGAAAAAATGACGAACACGCTCCAAGAATGACGCGATGACATTTAATAGAAACGTCATCGATTTGAACTGTAAAGTCACACAGTTCTTCATCCATCCATAGTTTGTTAAGACATTTAAAATATCCATTACTAAGCAGTTCACAAACTGGCATTGTTTACAGCTGTGTATAAGAGTGTGAAAGCAGTTTCAAAGTTGACTCGTTTCTCATATATTGTGACTGAAAATTGAAAAACTTGCAATTTAAGTTAAACAATAAAATAAAGTATAAAAGTCTATTCGCTGCCACAGAAAAGCATATTGTCTAAAAATGTATATCTCAAGGTTCCACCGTAAAGTTAAAATGGCAGAGCTAAATAAGGAAAAAGGGAGTGACGTCACGCTTTTGTCATATTTAAAAAAAAAATATTACAAGACCTAAACTTACAAATTTCTACAAACTCCAATTAGTTGCGATCATAATTATATAATTTTATTGGTTAAAAAAAACAAAGAACTGTTTAAAAAAGATTTCGCAAAACTTTACTTTTGGATGCAGTGTTTCTTTCTGAGTTTTCCCCCTTGACCACCCCCCACCCCCCCCCCCCCCCCCCCAACATCCGAAAGAGATGTCTGGAAGAAGCTCTACTTGGATGTATTGTTTTTGCTACGCATGTAAATAAAATTTATAGCGAAGTATGCTTTTTAATATATTTTTACATAAGAAAGTTTTATTTAATAACATTAACACATTAATCATGCGAATAGAAAATAATAAGGGAAACTACTCTTGTATCTTAATTGGCTCAAGCATCGTTGTTTGGCTCAAGCATCGTTGTTTATCGCTAACATTTTCGCGTAATTTAGCCCTCGATGGCGATTCAATACACTTTTAAAAAAACTGAAATCATATTCTAAAGCTGATAAACGTATAAAGCTAAAACAAAGCAATGGGCCTTCTATATCTAAATTCGAAATTGTTAGCTAGATCTAGATCTAGGTAGTAGCCCGTAGTAGGCCTAGTAACTTACCTGTTAATATACCCGATAATAAGTATTTAATTAATTCATTAATTAGCAAACTAATGAATAAAATCATTAACACAACAGAAAAATAGAAAAATTTAGCGCACTTGGGACTTATGACTAGCTTCGATTTTGAATAGTGCGAATAAAAGACTTAGCATTACCACTGAATCTACACTAGACCTACTACTAGATTATTATTTGTGGTTAAAATAGTAGGCCTATAGTTTGGATACACTGATAATGCATAGTCGAGATCAATGGAGACAAGCGAGTTGACGAGATTCCTTCCATCAAGCCTAAGTTATAACCGGATGTTTCACTTTCGTAAGACAAATATTGATTGGCTGTACAGTAACTTAGCGATCGATAACTATTTGTTTACAAAACTTTGCAGATCAAGTTTTTAAATAACAATGCAAATTTAAAACCCCATGACCTAGTTTTCTATTTTTAGCTTACAATGTGTACAATAAAATTATGTCGGCCTATCCAATAGCAGGATGCCATTGTTTATGTCGCCATTACACGTGAAAACCAAATTGTTTTTGCTTTTTTTTTAATTTTTATTTAGTTACCGAAAATATTAAAAACATCAAAAACGTCCAATCTTTAGTAAAGTCCGAAAAAAACCAGACAGACAGGATTTTATAACCATATTAATTGTAACTACGCCGTGCAAGATTTTTAAATTAATTTATGCACCTCTCAAATACCTTTGAGACTTTTCTCGCTTGTGTCCATTAGAATCGAAGTCATAGATATAATAGTATAATAATAGATAAGAATCAGATAATCATGGATTTATAATTATATTAAATAATTATAATATTAAGGTAATCTATCGTTTTAGTGTAATCAATTCGGCTGCAGTAGTAATATGCGGGAGAGGTAACTGATGAATATATTTGTTTAAATAAGTTTATTTAAGGGGTCATCCATAAATGACGTCACGCTTTTTTTGACGATTTTTACCTCCCCCCCTCCCCTCCGTCACACGTCGTCACAAAAAGCCAGACCCCCCCTAAAATGACGTCACACTTCAACCTACAACCCCCCTCAAAATTGCAGTTGAATTTTTTAAAAACATCGATATTTTTCCAAAATCTTGTCTAAACTATTACAATTTATTAAAACAGTTATCTAAAACGCGAAATAACGTCTAAAATTCGTTTTCTAACATTGCTTTTTTATAATGCAAAAATGTGACGTCGCAACATCTGACCCCCCCCCCCCCCCTCCCCCTCATCACACATCGTCACAAAATTACGGACCCCCCCTCCCCCCTACGAGTGTGACGTCATTTATGGATGACCCCTAAGTCAAATTTTACAAAATATAACAGATAATGGATTTAAAATAACAATCAGTGACCAAAACAATTTAAAATTTAAAATTTCCAAATAAAATTTAGAGTAGCTTCCCTTGATTCAATGTCTATGCGTATGTATATTGTGTTGACTTTGTTGTTTAATTTACATAGCTGTCTTGTTTAATATGAGAAGGACAGAGGGCCGTCTTCTTATCTTTAATTTCAATTGAAATGAAGGCTATGTATGTATGTACATCCAAGATCTCAAAAACTTTTGGGAGGTCCAACATTATTAAACTCTTTTGTACTGATGAACTTGTCAATTATTAGGTCATCCATGTCCCTCATACATGACGTTGGACTCAAAACATGGGACGGAATAAAATATTTAAAAAAAAAATGATGGAGAATATATTCGTTTTCGTTAGAAATTGTGATTAAGGGTTCGAGTATAGAATCTAGTAGAACTGCGATGTGATATTAAATCATCATCTTGCTTTTAGTGACGATTGGGGGAAAGAGAATTCATCGGGAAAAGTATGACGTCATTTATGGGCGATCCATTTAAGCCTAGTTGCTTATTTTGTCTGTAGACGTTAGTCTTAGGCCTACACTTTTTCTGAATTAAGATTATTATAGGTTTCAATTTTTAATTAGTTACACTTGAATACTACATGGTTTTTTTTCTTTGCCTTCTGCTTTCATCAGTTTTTGATTTGTTCAATAGTCGATGATTACCCCTCCCCACCATCCATTATTACAAAAACAAAAAAACACCCACTATACAGGGTTCCTACACCAAAGTGAACTTGAAATTCCAGGAGAATTCCAGGAGTTTTCCAGGAGAAAAACCAAAATTCCAGGACATAATTTAACCTATTAAAAAGCAACAACGACTCAACCCCGCGCTGAATGGAAGGGAGTTTAATATTTCTTAAATAGGAAGTGGACTTTATAAAATGCTATGTAGCAAAGCATTTGTAATTTTTAAAAGTAACTGTTTCTAAACCATTTAGTTTAGTTAAAGTAGATTCAATTTTGCACCCCACCCCTCCCATTTATAAATTGTTATTTATAAAATTGCTATCTCTCCTTTCTCTCCCCCCCCCCCCTTTGGAAAATTTGGTGGCACTTTTAACCAGACACTATCCTGTAACAATTTTTATCTTTGTACTACACAATTGAGGTAGAGAAAAGTTGAATCAGTGTGTAGTCTTGTAGCAGTTTATTTTCTTAACTTTGACTGTGTATAATTCAATACTTCAGCATAAATGAGCTTTTTGTAAACAAAATTTGTATCCCTTTTCATCAGGGTGCCCCCCCCCCCCACTTATGCCAATGAGTAGTTAAATATATAAATGTGACACTTTTCTTAAACTACTCACTGTCCATAAATTAAGCCTGTTTATAAACCCCCCTCCCCAGCACCAGTTCTAAGGCCTGTGGTCACAAATTGATCTCATAAATTTCCCACCCTCCCTTATCACAAAAGAAATAAATTATACAGAGATGTAAACAGACTATTGAAAATAACAGTTATTCTTTATTATCCCACCCACCCACCCCCCAAAAAAAAGTAAAATTTCACAACTTTAAAAATACTAGAAAACAATTTCAGCAATAAACTAATTTAAAATGTTAATCAATTATATGTTTGCACTTTTGTTTTCAATTCAATGATTCCTGAAATAGTGTGAGTAAATTCACTTAGTAAAATAATTATAAATTAATTTAGATGTTTGCTACTGAGAAACATATTGAGCCTAGCAATCATAGCTATATCCCAGTGTCAAGTGACATAACCCCTCACCAATGTCATCATCCATACTAACAATGTCAATTATAAACAAACAGAACAGCTGAAACCATGTCTTGTCTTTTAAAAATGGACATGGCATCTATCTATATACTACTAAAAGTCAAGTTTGTTTACATGTTTGAATATTTATTTGTTTGTTTGTTTGTTTGCCTGATTGACTATTGCTCATGGTTGCACTCATCGTGGAAAGCTGTAAAATAGTATGTAGGTAGAGAAATTTTTTTGTTTTAAGACAGACTGTTAATCACAAATTTATTTAAAGACGTTAATTAATTTATTGATTTATTCATTGTTAAATTAACCGTATTTTTTTAAAAATGTTAATACTTTGAATAAACTTTGTGGGGATAGTGACGTCCCTTGATGTGTTTACTTTTTTGGTACAATAAAAATGGCGGACTCCATCATAGACTTTGTGGCCCATTCAAAAGTTTAACGCGTTACAAAGCTAATTTTCTGCCGGCTATAACTTAAACAATACGTCCGTTTGCTGTATTTATTACGTTCCAACAATTATATCAATTTTCAACTGTCTTTTTCATTTAGTTTTACGATAAATTTCTTTAGATCTAAAGATCAGCTGTCGAAGGAAAGTTATGAAGCTAGCCTAGATCTAGATCTATCTAGATCTAGCCTAGATGTAGGTCACTAGACTCAATGTAAATTCTAGATCTAGACTTAATGTAAATTCTACATCTAGAATCTATTTCAGGCCTTAATACATCTAGAATTTATTTCAGGCCTTAATTATTTTATATAAATCTTTGTTTGGCTAATTTAAGATAAAATTTAATTTGAAAGTTACTAGATTCTACTACTAGACTTAGATCTAGATCTATGCGCGGAGACTCAAAAGTATAGTATAAAAATTCATTTGTGACGTCACGAGTAAATAGCTAAGTTTGTAGCGTAGTCCGCTCTCAAGCGGGTGGTACAGGTTCTAGACCAATATGTCAATGATATTTTTTTTCAATTTTTTTTTTTTTTTTTAGATGTGAATGATAAAGTTGCCTATCTGAACTTGGCAGGATACAGGGCAGGTGAAGTAGAGTTCATCTGTTTCTTTTTCATAAGCATATGAAGGGATAGTGTTGTCAGAGACATGCTCGGCTGGAATCGTTTTTTAAACGATAAAAACATGTTGTCTGAGACACTGGGCAGGTGAAGTAGAGTTCAGTAGGTTACCTGTGACGTCAGTATATGAAGGGATAGTCCGAAATCGGCGTTTTCGGTGTTTTTAAAAGATAAACATATTTTTGAATGTGGGGTCTGTTTTTGTGACGATAAGTGACACTGCAGTAGCGTAGCGAGGAGGGGGGGGGGGGGGTGCGGGAGGGGAGGCGGGGGGGGGGGGGGGGGGGGGGAGGGGAGGCGGGGGAAGGTGGAGGGGGGGGGGGGGCGGGGGGACATATGTTGGGGCGCCAAAATGGTTTGGAAAAATAAATTGAAAGGTTGAGGGGGGTTCAAATCAAAAGTTTGAGGGGGGGGGGGGGGTTGAAAATCGAAATCTTGGGGGGGGGGGGGGGGGGGGTTTAAAATCGAAAAGTTTGTCTCCGGGCGCCGGGAAGGCTCGCTATGCCTCTGAGTGACAGACGTGATGTTTTTTGATGGATGACCCCCGAAACCCACAGTTATCCAACGGATGACGGGTATTCTAGTTGTGATTTAAATGGGTGTCTTCAACAGTAAATAGCCTAACTGTAATTTTAATTTTTTATCATTTAATGAACAAGTAGATCAACCTGAGTAGCTTAGATTTGTCCTACTAAAAATAAACTGTATTTTGGAAATAAGGGCAAGGGGTCATCCATAAATGACGTCCCGCTTTTTTTACGATTTTTACCCCCCCCCCCCCCCTCCGGCACACGTCGTCACAAAAAGCCAGACACCCCCCCCCCCTAAAATGACGTCACACCTCAGTCTACAACCCCTCTCAAAATTGATGTTGATTTTTTCTTAAAACATCGATATTTTTCCAAAATCTTGTCAGAACGCCGTCAACATAGAGTATTTCGATCAATTCCTATTGCAATTTATTAAAACAGTTTTCTAAAACGCAAAAAACGACAAAAATTCGTTTTCTAACAATCTAACATTGCTTTTTATGATGCAAAAGTGTGACGTCCCCACCATCTGAAACCCCCCCCCCCCCCCTCATCACACACCGTCACAAAATTACGGGCCCCCCTTCCCCTACGAGTGTGACGTCATTTATGGACGACCCCCTAATACTTGAAAAATTTTAAATATTTCAGCCAAAAATAGAATTTCAGATAGTTTTTTTAATTGTCGGTAGCGTATTTTTTTCCTCCAGCTAGACACGGTCGCGCGGGGTCAGTTTGAGTTCATCTGAGCTTACAGTTGGCCTGTAGTATACTGCTGATGACATCACTAGCGGGTCACACAGAGTTCACTTTATATACCCAACCAGCGGTCCTCCCTCCCCCACCCTGTCGTGGGAAAGAAACTGAGATGCGGGATGGGAGGGTGGTAGTATTACAACACGCATGTAAAAATAGAAAGTAGATCTAGAGCCTATCGGACTGTAGATTCAAATTAGCTGCGCAAAAAATAGATTTTGGCCTAGGTCTACTTGAAATTTCCATTTTAAAAAAAAAAGCCAGACCTATTAAACAGAGCCGCACACATAGAAAGACGTGAGAAAAAAAATTAAACCAAACCCACATGTTAAGGACAGATTTAGGTCTATATTTTAAAATGTATGCCTTGTAACGCGAAGAATTGAAAAGGCAGAACATTTTTACTCGGGCGGTCAGATCTGATTACCTAGAAATCTAACGCGCGAAAAAAATATACGCTAAAATTATCGATGCGAGTAAAATTCCAGGACATATTACAAAATTTCAGGAGAAATGTTAAAATTCCAGGAGAATTCCAGGACATCCTGGAATTTCAGGAGGCCGCGGGAACCCTGACTATATAGTGATATCTCCCTCTAGAAAAAAAACAAACTAGATCAACCTATAGTTCATAGGAAAATTAGAATCTATCACGTATTCGTCTGTTTAAAAAAATAAACACGTCATTTTTCTCAACCCCGCTGTTTCATCATCAGTAAGCAAAACATCACTAAGTTCGCGGCGCGCGTGACGTCACTTGTCATTAGGCTAATGTTAAAGAAAGAGATACCGCGTAATTAAAAAAATCAAAACAGGCACTATGGCGTTGAGACTTTAGCGACGAATAGATCTAAATGACTTTAGTTCGGTGAATTATATTGGTGTTTAATTTATTACAGTGGCATGATGTTCTCCCTTTACTATACAAAGTCACGTGCTTTTAATTTCTGCAACCTGCTGCTATGAGACGTTCAGCTCTAAAATGCCCGTGACACAGCGGCTTCCGTAAATACATTCAGGCTCCCGGTCCCACCTATACACTTCGTCTGTCCATTAAGCTCCGTAACTTGTGATTGATATGTGGACATAAGCGGCGCTAGTGGTGTTGTCAACAGGCACCCCCCCCCCCCTTTAGCTCCGCATAAAAGACAAAACTGATGTTCAGATATCGTCGGACTCGGGCATTTAGCCGACGGCCGTATTCCTAATGCACCGCCTTAGAGGCTGTCCACTGCTAAGACTATTTCTATATTAAACTCAAGCCTATACTGAGCTTTGGCTTTACATTAGCTGCTGTCGTATTAAGAGTTGATCGTTTGTTATGCCCCATGTCGCGAAACTTTTTGTTTTGTTCAATTTTAGCCAATAACTGTCTTGGACTCTTGTCGAATATTGTTGCCAGGAGCTACTTGGTTTGAGCCTTGTTGTTAGAAGTTACTTCATTTGGGGACAATATAGTGCGGCCTATTTTCGTCGATAGGCATTTAGTGGCAGGCCCTTTTTGGCGGGGATGATGTGCTGAGGTTGTTTAACACCGCTTAGGACAACAGGCTTGCAATAGTTATGATCATTCGTTATGAGCAAAGGTATGCATGAAAACGAACACTTTATGTTACTCATTTTCATTGAGCACAGCTTTATAGAAGTCTTCCATAATTGACGTCACGCACCCCCCCCCCCCCCCCCGATCACCCCTTCATTATAGGTAATAAATTGCGATCCTGCGTAAATCGACGTCACATTAGCATAGCATATGTGACATCGTTTGTGCACAACTCCATATCACTCATTTTGGGTATTTGGTATCAACATTTTGACAAAAAAGGTTATTCAAGATGTATATTGGAGGTTAGGACTTGACATCTACCATAAATGACATCGTGCACTGAAGGGGCGGAGTAACTGGTTTTGAGCCGACGTTTTACGTGGGAAGTGGGAGGGGTAAGAAACATGAAACGTTATGTATTTCGCCTAATACAAACATGCTGACAACATTCTTTTTCTTTTGAATTATGGCTTGACTTTTTAACAGGCAGGGCAAAAAGGTAAATTTTGTTATGACTATTTCGTGACGGCGAAAATAGGGGGGGGGGGGGGGTTAAGGTGAAGAGAGGTCAAAAACGTGACGTCATTTTTAAAAATTAAATCTCTAATTAAAGGGAAAAAGACATGAAAATATGAAATGAAAACAGCAAGCAAACAATAACAATTAATTCAAACTAAAAGTTAAATAAACATTAGATTTAGATCAAGTAGTAGTAGCTCTACAAAAATCGGGACTTCCTTAATTTATAAAAATTGCATCTCATAATAATAATTCTAGAACTGATGATGTTTATTGTCAGTCAATTTAATTGTTTAAAGAACAGAAACTAAAAAAAAAAAAAACGCATACTCTGTATTTAAAAACAAGACAATCGTATTTAACAGCAAACAGCAATACATTTCCATACAAATAGAAATTAAGGGGAAATAACTCAAAATAATACTTTCTTAAGATGGCCGCTGTTTTTTTTATAGCAAATTTAGTATCTGGAACATCGTTGTTAAACGTTAATTTCATGATAATTTTATTGATTTAATCTTAAATTGTGATTTAATATTCAATTATCTTTAGTATTTTAATACAATATGCAAAAATATATTCATATTTGAGCCATATTCATTAGTTACTTTATCCCTACATTACTAGATCTAGCACCGGCCAAATTGATTACGCTAGCTAAAACGATAGATTACACTAATTTTATTAATTTAAGTAGGCTAGGTAATTTACTAAGTGTATAATTAAGAATATTGTAGAAACACATACATACTTAATACTTATGCACCGGACGAAAAAAGACAAAAAACAATATAGATTCTAAGTGAAATTCCAATTCACCGTCAACCTACTTCTGATTGTGACAAACTACAAAGTGAAAATGAAACTACTGACGCAGCCTACCGTCATAGTCTGAAAGAAACTAAATATAATAACCAATCACAGAAGACCTAGAAGAGGTTGAAAGGTCGCGGTGGCTATTGCGCCGTGTTTTCTTTATGTAGCGGGAAAATCTATTCTAATCCAAAAACTAATCTTTGCTCACACAATAGATTTATAATTGATCGACGCCGTAGGAAGTTGTAAACAATCTTACACAGTTAAGATGAATAGAGTTAAGTATTTAATTGCTGATTAAATTGATTGATTAGAATAGTTGAATTTAGAGGCAGAAGCGTCGCGAGGCGGGGGGAGGGGTGCGGACCGCTCCGGGGGACACCATTTGGGGGAGGGAGGGTGACACCAAGACAAAAATATATAGAAGAAAATGCTTTCTTTCAGTTCAATCAATGATTAATTAGAGTTAAAACGTATCTAAGTACAAATTGACGATCCCGACAAGCTGGGGTTTGGGGAATGGGGGGGGGGGGGGGAGGAGGATACCAGCTGTATAAATAACAGATAAACATTGTTACTATTAACTTTACACTCTTCAAAGCTATTTTTAAAGCTGGCACCAACTGCAACATTTACACAGGAGGTAAAAGTTAAGATGTTTATTTTCAATAAGTGATTAGTCAATCAATCAATAACTGGGGTGGGTTGATAACGTTTCTAATAATCTGCTTTTTCAACTTGAATTATTGCTGGATTGAAATAATGTGTTTTGGCTAAATCAGAGCGAGGTGTCACCTATTGCAACTATATAATATATATATATATATATATATATATATATATATATATATATATATATATATAATTTTATAGCCTATACTTTTTTCCTTTGGTGGGGGGGGGGGGGTATGACACCATGAGGTGCCGCATTTCGTGACACCTGACCAGGGGCGGAACTACAGTGCCGCCAGACCCCGCAATGCGGGGGGGGGGGGGGGGGGGGCCACGCCATTTAGGGGCCCACAGCCGACCATAATATTTTTTTTTATAGTTAAAAAAAATAATTTTCTAGCATTTTTGACTTGATGGTTGTTTTGCAAAAAGATTACCGTAGCTGCGGTTGAATTATCTTTATTCTATACCACCCCAGGCTCATGTATATTCTTTTTCCCTTTGTTTTTAAACCACAGTGAAAGCCGAGTCCTCTTTCTGCTACAATCAAACTTATCAAAGATTAGCAAACGTTCAAACCACTTCCATGAGTTACTTCCCTTTTTAAATAGTCAAATAGGGGTGCTCATAAGCTCCTTTTAATAGATTTGTACTAAACTAACTAAAAAGGAATTACTTCTCTTAATTATTATTTATCATAAAGTATTGAATAAAGAATCATATTGTACAAAAAGAAAATGAATTTAAAATTAATAATATAAATACAAAAAAAATAAAATAAACATGAGACACCATTACTTTTACAAAGCTTTCATGTTTTATATTCTTTATAACGACTAATGTGCGATTTTATAGAAGAGTTAAAATAAAACTAATTTTCACAAAACACACTAACTAACGCACTTACACACATGACATGATGTTGTAATTTGTTTTAATTGAAATAATTTTTTGTCTCAAAACCCGAACAGGCCAGTAATGAGTATTATAAGTTCGTATTTATATGTTTGTATATATATATATATATATATATATATATATATATATATATATATATATATATATATATATATATATATATATATATATATATATATATGGGGGGGGGGGGCCTAAAAAATGTTTTTGCGGGGTGGCCCTTTTTTTCTAGTTCCGCCACTGCACCTGACCTAGCGACACCATTTGTTAGAGGACCAACGTCAAGCCTAAAATTTGAGGCCGAAAATGTTAAGAGATAAACTCTGTTTGCATTTTAAAATATTTATGCCAGAATTACCTCCCTTACTTCAGGAAGTGTATGTCATCAGCTTGAGACGACTTAAGCTTGTCTGACTATATCAACTTGAACTTTAGGTTTAGTTTTAGCTCGATATTGTATAGATCAAGCTTATAGGCTTATTTTACACGATCTAAACAAAAAATTCATGTAAACACAAGTTAAGAAATATAATTTAATAATATATAATTAAGTGAACGTATTATAATAATAAAAGTCCCATATTCAGTGGCGTAGGCTGGGGGGGGGGGGGGTTAGGGGGGGGGTCATACCCCCCCCCCCCCCATAGACCCCTCGGTATAGATATATAAAGTATGAGGGGGGTGGGGTGTAAATCAAAAGATTGAGGGGGGGGGGTTGAAAATCAAAAGTTTGAGGAGGGGGGGGGGGGGCTGCAAATCGAAAGTTTGAGGGGGGGGGGGGTGCAAATCGAAAGTTTGAGGGGGGGGGGGGGTGCAAATCGAAAGTTTGAGGGGTGGGGGGTGCAAATCGAAAGTTTGTCCCCGGGTAAAAATTGGAACCCCCCCTTGAGACGATCCTGGCTACGCCACTGCCCATATTATATATATTAAATACATGTGCATTTTTTTCCTTTCTAACCATAGTACCCTAATAATATAATAATATGAATTGAGCTTGTTCATTTAAATTTAAAAAAAATTGAATATATGATATTAGGGAGAGTAAAGGCGGCTGGGCATAGTGCTGACTACACTATCTCTTCATATGCCGAGGTCACAGAATCAAGTGAACTTCACTTGCCCTATAGGCCGTCATGTTTGAAAAGGGAACCTTACATTACTCTACTGTATTATAGTCAGGTTTGAAAGGGGAACCTTACCTTACACTACTGTATTACACACTAGTTCTACTGTTTCAACGATCTTCTAACTAATCTCAATCTCTATTCTAACTACAACTTCTTTCTACACGTCTGTTTAACGCTACTATTCCTATCCAACTGCTTACTAGCACTTTACTTCTCCCTACTGCTCCAATGACCAACTGCTTACGCTATCTACCTACTCCCATCTGATGCTTCAGTGGTCAGCTGACCGTCTCACGTGACCGGTCAGTTAGTTCCACTGCAATTGCATGAGTTCTGTTTAACCAATGTCTAGCAGACGGTTGTTTTGTGTTTCCGTTATTAATGTTTGTCGTGTCAGAAGCTTGAACAACAGTGCTGTGTTCCTCTCAGTTTAGAGCCTTATGTAGGACTACACAAACACTGCTGCAAATAAGTGTGTTACTTCTAACTTAAACAAGAATGTTGTGGAATGACAAGTCTTAAAATGTATTTTGTTACATCGACATTCTCAAGCAGAAATTTCTTAATTGAGCCGAGTAGGCCTACATATTTGCCATTCATTTGAAGTACACATACCTTACCTTGAACGAAATGAAAATGAAATATATACTTTAACTAGTGTTTGCCCCTCCCCCCCCCTGGCTCCCGAGAGCTCACCGCGAAGCCTCTGATATATTGGCGGTCGGCGAGGTGTGTTGTACCTTAATATTACGGAGGGTGAATAACCTACACAGAAGGCGTTCACACAGCAATTTCTCAATTTTCCAAAAATAAAAGCTAAATTTTAAAATATAAAAACATTTGTTTTTATGTTTATAATTATGCAGATTATCAAAATGTCAAAATTGAATTAATTAAGAATGTCTATTTATGTACTATAATTTATGATATAGTTTATTTTTTTTTCGGGCAAACGACCTTCTGGAAAGTGTCCATTCGCGATTTTGACGTATTCGGGCAAGTGACCATTTGTAAAATCGGCCTTCCGGTAAACGGCATTCGCCAAGTATCTTTAGGGAATTTGACGTAGACCCACCCCCCGACACCATCAACATCGCACACGTATGGGAAATGACCGTAAAATTTTCGGTAGGTTTAGAAATTAAGTAAAAGAAGATTGGGTTGGATAGGAAACACACTGCGCAGATAGCCAACCAATATCACCAGGCAGACATTGAAGTGGAACCCTAAAAGTAAGCGCAAAAACACCTGGCGACTGCACCTGGAAGCTGAAACCACAAAGATGGGCTACACCTGGAGAACACGATAACCTGAGTACCGTTACAGCTAGGTTGATGAAATTTCATATATAAGTATTTTATTAAAATCGTAGATCCGTATCAAATTTTGAGCGATTTCCAATAAACGAAAGTGGTACTTTTTTCACTTTGAATTTTTCAAAAGCCTATAACTTGAGTACTATTAAAGATAGATAAATGAAATTTCACATGTAAGTAAAAGATCTAATCCCATATATTCTTTCAAATTGTGAGTAATTTCCGTTGACCGAAAGTAGTAATTTACGCTATTTCCGATTTCTCAAAAAATGCATGTAAATTAATAAAGTACTAATAATATACTGCACTATTATGCACATTTTGTTTTGGCATTCGCTTGGTGCGCAATTCTTTTTTTCTATGAGATTCTATTCTATTTTTAAAAGTTTAAGTATTTAAAATGGATTAAAAATCATAACTATATCCCGAGTTCCCATCCCCTGTTTTTTTATATAAAAATATTCGAGAAAGTTTAGGGGAGATTACTCCCGGTTTATTATCTCATGACATGCCAATACCAACTTAATTTCCTGGTTTTGATTATGCTCAATAGACTCCCAAAGGGAGCAATCATCGTATTACTGATCCTTTCCAGGACTCCCTCATTAGTTATGAGATCCCCAGGAAACTCTGTCCAGGGCCTGGATTACACTCTGTAGGTCTGCATTGAGGGTCCATGCATCGTATAAATACGTATAAATACAGAGGAACAGACACCACCAGAAGTGTCAATAGAAGTGTTGTTGTCGTGCCAAATGTTTCTTAGTTTACTGAGTGCTGTTGTTGTTTGTGCACTGCATGCAATAATTTCTTGCTTCGTTCCTTCATCGGATAATATGGCGCCAAGTTACTTAATTGAATGAACTTCCTCCAATCTTTAGCCATTTAAACGTATATCTGCCACTATAACATTTGGGTTGTTGATCATGACCATAGTCTTGTCGGCGTGGATTTCCAAGACGTATGATATTGATGTTCCGTCCAATCTATCTACTAATTCAATCTTCGCGATCTAACTACATGCACTGGCATCTAAGTCAAGAGCGAATCGTAGTTTGCAAATAATTCGTTTACCGATGCTGACAGTCGATATGGTCTTCCAAGACGTCAGCGATAATCATTGTTAGGTATATATTGAAAATGATGTGACAGAGCAAACAGCCTTGCCTAACGCCAATTGTTGTTCTAAACAATTTGCCTATAGTCTTGTTAAAAACTACTGTGCTGGTTGCTCTCTCGTATAATTTTTTTTATATTTCTATGAGATTTACGCCTATGTTGTATTTGAGCATGGTAGCCCACAGTTTAAAGATCTATTAAGTTGTGTTGCGTCCCTGTCTAAAGCCTGCCTGTTATTCAGCTATGATCTTTTCACCTTGTGCCTTTTACACCATAGAAGTCTTCACTAGTTGCATTTTACAACAAATTGCAAATTGCAAAATTTAGAACATGTTATTTTTCACCTTCAAAGCAATGTATTATATTAATTATGAGGCCTACTACACTTTTTCTTCAGAGTGAAGGGACGAAAAAATGTTTCTGTGTTTACCCTAGAAGTGCAAATAGTTTACAAAAAATACCATAGGTGATAATTTTGGTAGTTATTGAAGCAATCAATAGTAATCTATGTTGTGGAATTGTCGTACTTCCAATAACTCTGCAGTTATCCTAATAATTATATATAGTTAAGTATAATAATAATAATAAACTAAATATTGATAACGATTATTTATAATTATATGTGCTTTATTAATTTTTGTTTTAATAGTGTTACAATAGTTCTACTATATATATATATATATATATATATATATATATATATATATATATATATATATATATATATATATATATATATATATATATATATATATATATATATATATATATATATATATACTTTTTTCTTTCACATCTAAAGAAAATAGTCAAATGATTTAATAATAAAAGTTAAGTATAAGCTATATATATATTTGCATATTTTATTTACTTGCCGAAACTAAGATAAATATTCAAACATTCTTAATAATGAAAATAATTGTGCTTGAACTTAAAATAAAAAATAAAAGTTATTCATTTTCTTTATGTAGATATTGATGTTTACATTCATCATTATTTTCTTAAAATACAGCTAGTCAAATCACAAAACAAAAAGCTGACAGAGAACAGTGGGTGGTTAACAAAATAAACCACAGTCGATTTAAAAGTGCATATATATATATATATATATATATATATATATATATATATATATATATATATACATATATATATATATATATATATATATAGCCAATAGATGTGTGTAAACATACACCAATTCCCATCCATATATTTTTTAAAATAATTATTTCTTTCTGTCTTTATTTTTATACATATTAGCTATTTAAAATAATGTTTATATTTCTAATATAATAATAACTATTTTATTTATTGAAAGGCTTTAAAGAAGAATAAATAAAGCAGTTTAACAGTAGAAGCAGTTTTACAATTGAAAAACATGGGTTAAATTTAAAGCCAGGATTAATTAAAGGGATTTCATGATGTTTTCAGCTCAAGGCCATTTATAATTTGCATAAAAAAATCGAATATTTGAACCATCGCTGTCTGCTGTTAATAAGGAGTAAAAACGATAATATTAAGTTGTAAAATGGTTCCTAGTCTTCTTTAAGTAAACTTTCTATTATAATTTCAAGCAATTAGTCGTAAATGCAATTATGTAAAGAAATAAAAAAAAAAAGATTCACTTATTAAAACGCAAAATAAAAATAATTGAAAACTATCAAAGAAATACACATACAAAGGTATAATGACAAGTCAGTTTTGTGGTCTCAGAAATATTAAATCACAGTGTTACGATTTAGGTAACAGTTATTTATTTAATTTTGTTTCGAATACGTTTTAAACATTTAACGTTTGATGTATCTATTAAATCTCTTGTAAGAAAGCTGACTTTAAAAATGTGCTCGGACTAGACATTAAAATGCTCTAATATGTCTTGTGTTATATAAGAATAAGTCAGTTAATTACGAACACATAGGATAATTTTATATAGTGTATTAGCGAATACTATGTTTTATCGTTTTGAAGAATGAGTTTTAGTAAAGGTCTCTAAAGTATGTCATAAGCCAAGGACTAATATATAAGTTACTTTTAGAATGATTAAGGAAAACACCGTTTAGTTACGCAGCACTCGATTCTGACAATGGAAATGTAGTTAATTTAGAACTGTAAGAAAGCGTAAAAAACAACAACAACAAATGACAACGTTTGAGTAAAAGAAAAGAAATTCGGAATAATGGACATAAACGACTTTTCGTTAATAAGTGTTTAATAAGTGTAATAAGGCCATAATGGATTGTTAAAAAAACTAAATGATTAAGCAGTTTGCATTTTGGAAAAAGTAAAAAGAAATTGAAAGTTTTTAAAAATGTTTTTGCAGCATATGTCAAATGATACTAAACTTAATGTCATGCTTTGTTTCAAAAGAAGTTGGGGCCATATAGAATGGTGAGACCATTAATGGAGAACGACTATTATAAGTTATTGGTTAATGCATAAAATGATTTTGAAATATGTTAAGATATATAGATATTTTCGTTAAGAGCATTGATGCAAGCAAATAAATGTAAATAATACATACATTTCAATTTTAAACAATCGAAAACAGATAAAAGCAATAAAATATATCAATTTTCGTATATATATTTATAACAAAAAGCTCAATTAGCTACTGCTTGCATTTCATGTATGTATAAATAATTCTTTACAATACAACTAATTGTTTTCAAATACAATAGAGATTGCTAAAATGTTATTCAGATTTTTAGTAATAACAATACTGTGTTTTATATTAACACTAAAAAAAGGCAATTCAAAATTAACTTTAGTTCGAACTTGTATCTGTCTCTCTATTGCGGTTATTTCTGACTAAAGCAGTGCTCTTTAGGCAAGCAGACTGGAACCTGTTAAAGAATCCGGCGTTTCTCTCACCCGTGTTACCAGTGTTAACCATTTTTTTTGCTTCCTACCCTAGTGCATCCCATCGTCGGGTTCGGATACATTAGACATATTGGTCGTTGGGACAAGACGTTTCTTCAACCTCAAACTACTAATACAAAATTAATGTCTCAAACGCTAAGATCTATATTGTTATGGTTGATTCATTTTTTTACATACAATGTACACATTTTATGGACATTTTCAGTGAAAAAAGTAACAAAAATAATTTTAGTGAAATATTTAAAATATTGTTTAACATGTATTTTTATCATTGAAACGGTTTTAACAAAAAACATATAATTGTTTGCCATACTTTTGTATTTTTTTCAAGTAGGCATACTCAATAAGTTGCGTAAGTTTCTCTTAATCTTTCTGTTGAAAAATATTAATATTAATATTATTGTGTAAATTCCCATTGTATACATAATCAATAAATGTTATAATACAAAAACTGAAATTCGCGTTGAAATTTTATCATCAGTGGGTTCGACGATCGTTGAAATTGTCATCTTAAAAACAGATGTTGAAAGGCGAATTTGTTTAGTACCGTGAGATGGTGTTACAATATTAATAGAATGTACTGTTTAAAGACAGATAGCAGGGTTATCTTAAAAGATAATGTTAATGAATATCTTATTTTTTGTTGCTTTTCCGACGATTAGATACCCGTGTGAAGGTAGGCATTGCTTGTTGGTTTTGAGATTCACCATGAGCTGTGTTCTTGGTAGTTCCCAGTTCTTCCAAAGATATCCCAAAAGCTTTTGGTCCTGAAAAGCTAAATCCTAAATAAAAATAAACCTTTTTATTCTTCATCACTGATGTGCTTACGTGGTACGCTGTTGATATTTCTAAAGTAAATCTATTGCCATCTTTTGTAATTATTTTTGTTGAAACCTTTTCGCCATCATTGGAAAGCACACCAGTCATCATTCTAAGATGTTTTCTTAACTCAGGAATATTCCACTTTTCTTTATAGTTAAAATCATTCATGATTTCTAGTTGATCTTGAGGTACAATATCTTGTAATGGAGACCCGTTACCAAGAAAAAATAGAGTTGTTTCTTTTTTGCGAAACATATACATATCTTGTTTAGGGTGATTCCGTTTAAACTGATCCCTCAGTTTCTCCAAGGCGTTTTTAAAATCCAAAATAGGGCAGATATCATGTGCATTTCTCTCCTCTGTAGGAAAGTTGTATAAAACAAAATACATCATTGGTTCTAGATAGTACCTTGTTGATTCTTTAGGTTGTTCTATAAAATAGAATCTTTTACTCCAGTCCAACATGTTTTGAAAAGTGAGACCTGCTGGTTTTCTATAACTAACAATCAATACTGTGAGTACATCCAAAATGGCTTTAAAATCATAAAAGGTGACATGTTGTGATTCCATATTTGTTTTCAATAAATCATAAATTTGCATCATGACTTCAAACTTTCCTTCCTTTTTTAATTCTAAAATTTGGTTTAACGACGATGCGCCCAACGTTTGTGCATAACTTAACTTATATGCGCAATAATCACGCCCAGTCATAGTTGTTTTTTCGAAAGCATTAACAGTTTCTTCAAAATAATAATCCAGATTAGCTTTTAGCTTAGGAAAATTTTTTCTGCTGTAATCATCGGCTACTATTTGTTCTTGGCCACTTCCATCTTTAACTTGTAAATATTCTTCATCCAGGCGTCTCATTCCTTGCCTAGCCCTAGATGCCAAACCTTTCAAGAAAAGTTTGTAGTTATCAAGAAACTTAAGCTCCGCTGGACAGTAATTTTCCTCAACCAAATATTTATGAAGAGTTGAATGCTCTTTGAAGGCAGAATGTAACTTAAGTGAATCAAGCAATGTGTTTATTAAATCAAGTTCTCCGTAGTAGCCAGCCATGTTATTTTTTTCGGAAGTTGTCATTTCTTTTTCACTTGCTTCCTGTGCTTTCTGGAATTTTTCCAAACCATCATTTCCTAACTTAATGATTTTTATAATGTCTTCATCTACAAAATGATCATTTTCTTTTAAATCTGACAGCTCTGAACTAAACACTCTGCCAAATGTATCCCAAAGAAAGGAATTTTCAGGTTGTAAACTCGTTGCTTTCTCAGCATAATCTTTAGCCATTTTCCAGTTTTGCATTTCCATGTAAACTCGGGAAATTAATTGTGCTATAAAAGCATCTTTACTGACATTATACAATTGAATTAAAACTTTAACTGCAATATCAGCACCTTCTCCTTTAATAACATCAGTTACAAATGAAGAGAATTTTTCTTTTTTTCCTGTTTGGCTTTCTCTTTTCCTAGCCACATAAATAATATTTTTTCTAAAAGAATCTGCATCTTGACCAGTTTGTTTATACACATTTGGTTCACAGAGCTCCAGCATGATTTGGCTAGTCTTTTTGACAGTATTTAATTTTAGGTAGTCTAGAATCTTTCCTGCAACCATTTTGTTTATTATCCTCAAGCATTTTCTTGGTTGCTTTTTTCTGGAGTATTTTGATATGTTCATCAAAAATCGTATACTTGAACTTAAATTTGCCTCCCATTTAACGTCACGTATGAAGTCAATTGTTTCAGTTTCGCCATCCGGTTTTCTGTTTTTAAATAAAGTGTCAAGCCAAGACACTTTAATTGGTTCAAACTGTGTGGAAAAATAGTTGAAAAAGGCAACTATTCGAAGAATTTCAATTTCCATTTTGTTTTCTTTTATATCATCACAATATCTATTAACAACATCAGAAATATAGCTTTGGTTAAAATTTTCACGCATAATGTTGAATGCAAACAGGTCATGGACATTGTTTAGGTTTGATTTATCCTTCTTAAACCAATTAATTTCTCTTGGCGAAAGACTATGTAATAGCGCGATTTTGTTCGGTTCAAAAGGCGGACGAATTTTAGTTTGTCTTCTGCATTCAATAACAACACAAAATATGTCGAATGATTCCTCATAATTTTTCCAATTATTACGACCATGTTCTTCCATCTTCCCTTTAAATTTGATATATTCATCATCATCAACATAGTCGATCAGAACCAAAAGTGGTCTAGGTGGTCGAGCTCTAGAATCTTCTTTGTAGAGCCAAATTTCTTCTAAATGTTCGCTTGTATTTTCTTTGATATTTTTAACACGGCAGCATCTATATTTTGTACGAAGATCCCAAAGAACATGCATGGCAGCAGTGGTTCCTCCGGCTCCTGGTTCATGCAATAAAGTTATATACTGTACTTTTCTTTCATCCTTGGCTTCGCCCTTCAGTAAATCTTCAACTGTATCTTTCAGTTTACCATGTATATCCCTCTGAAGGACTTGATTATTAAACCAAAAGTTTAGCCAACTTACCTTTTCGCCACAATAGAATTCACGTTCGACCATTTGTTCTAATTTCTTTTCCAAACAAAAGTCTCCTGAATTCAAAATATCAATATCGTGCCATTCTTTTAGTTTTTTTGGTGGTATATGTGTCGCATTTCCTTTAGTACATGGCAGGTAAACTTCAAAATTTTGGTTTGTTGTTTCTGTAATTTGTGAAACGGTTGTGTTGATTTCCCCCCAGGCCATGTCGACAACACTTTTATTGTCCAGCTCCAGCTTTTCGAATATATTATACCCCAGTATTTTATCTTGCCATAATTTCGCATTATCCTCATTTTCTGAAAGAAGAATCCATCCCTTAGGAAGGCTACGTAATGCTTCAAAACAGGCAGGGATCATTGTTTCATAGGTCTTTGAAAACAAGCAAATTATTAAAAGTATTCTTTCCTCTCCGTGAGTGTCAGTAAACGCCCTGAAGGCTTCACTAAATAGACGCCATCTTTTTTGTGCCCACTGTGTGCTATCCATCGGTTTCATGTTTTCATAGCCATTACAAAAAACCCACTGTGTATATTCATCTTTTTGCAAATTTTCACGCAAAGAATTTAGATTTTCGCTTTCCTTATTAAATCTATCTAAAGTGTAGACATTAAATATTTCTTCTTTACTCGTGTCTAAAGTATGATAAATACCTTTAGTATGGCCTTCGGGATCAAAATCAAACACAACTTCCGGCTCGAGATCTCTAATAAAAGACATGTTTTTATTTAGAAAATCTTGATCCATATAGCTATCAACTGGACTAAGCATGAAGAAAATGTAAATATCATCTAGAATTTTGCCTTGATCCGAGCCTCCAGTAAGTAAACGATTTAGTTTATTAAATGACTTTGGAATCTTTTTAATTTGATTTTGTTCGTCTTCACTTCGCTGTCGTACTATTTCGGAAATATCTCGGATGAAGCTAATGGCATCTGATGCAGGTAAAACATATGGATTTCCGTCTGCTGAGAATTTAAAGATACCATACTCTCTTTTTTGTCTTTTGTTGCTTACTGCAAACATTTTTAAGAGATGTAGTTTTGTTTGAATGACTTCATTGTTTAAAAGTGAAATTGATGGCACCACGTCAATTTCAACAACCCAAGACGCAGTACTGCTGCTTCCAGAAACTACTGGAATAAATTTGGGATGTCTGACGGCTTTAGTATATTTGGTTTGTTCATTTAGAAATGAAGTCTGTAATCTATTATCAATTTCTTTTCCGACCTCATCCTTATCGATTGTAACACCAACAATTTCACCAGCTCTGTATGTGTCGTCTTTCTTAGGACATACTCCAAAATAAAGTGTACCGTTTTTTCTCTCATTCATACAGGCGGAGACAAAAGGAATTAGCTTGGACCCCATGAATTCTAGCATTTCATCTTCTCCTTGTGATTGATTAACAAGATGGTAGTTTCTAATAGGAGTTGTTTTCTTGTCTCTAACATGAGATGAGACATCATCAAAGCATCGTCCTTTTACATATTTGGTTGTGACATCTACATCTGCGCAAAATCGCCTAGGATGCTCGTATAGCGGATTTGTGTCATCTGCAACATCGTGATCAGACTTTGCTTCTTCTTTATATTTAAAATATAAAGAAAAAAGAAAAAACAAACATAGCGGTTAAACGCGAATAATTTAGCAAATTAAAAATATTAAAAATATCAATTTTGGATTCCTGTGGCAAATTTATTCCATCATTCCATTTTTTTTTAATCATAAAGACAGAAAATTATACAGTTTTAAATGTGTAAATTATAGAGGCGTGTACTATTGGCAAGTGGTAGTCAGTTTGAAAAATAAAGATTTATATACTTTGAAAAAACAAAACAAAACAAAACTATTCAGTATGAAATAGCTGTTAGAGTTTTATATGAGTATGTTTTTAAAAAAAACATAAGTTAAGAATTCCATTAATTTACTTTTACACAATCGGATTGGTTTAATAAAGTAGTTCAAACTAATAAAACCCATCGATTTTCATATAATGGCCGTCAGAGAAATAATATCTTATATATTTTATCTTATCTGTTCCAGTAAATATTGTAGTTTAATTTTGTAATTCAATTTTGTGCTCCAATTCATCATTGCCCTAATTTTTAATATCTTTAACTTAACAGTCAAGAGAAAATACACATTTCTTACCTAAGACAGGTGGTTGCATAATTT